CCCCTCTTCAATGCACCCCGCGGCCCCTCCCCTCCAACTGTCTCACCCTCCTTCCATTGTTGCCATCTTCCGGCAGATTTCTTCTGCGACCATTTGGGTAACCGCTTCCCCCAGGACAGTGTCATCTACCCGGAGGACGGCGAGTCTCCCTTGCTTGGGCCGCCATTGATTCCCTGCCAACTGTCGGGTGCGCGGCATGCGATGATGCCTCGCCTCCTGGATGGCACATCTGCCTTGGCCTCGTCTGCTGTGTTCCTCTTCCTGACCCACCGTCCTGCTCGTGACTGCCCTTCATCCCTCCCCATTTTGCCCGTCCTCCGGTGGCCTTTTTTTTTTCACAGACAACTGGCAAACCACCGAATGTTCTCACTTGGGAGCCTCCCTCCCAGCGGCCTGTGACACCAGCACCTTCCCGTTTGGTGTGCGTCCTCGGCTCCATTGGCCTCTCTCTCTCTCTCTCTCTCTCTCTCTCCCTCTCTGTCCCTTCCCTTTCCCCAACTCTCAGCACCCAAGTGTTCCTCACCCTCCCCTCGCCCCTTTCTCTTGAACCCTTGCTCTTCCCTCTTCCTCCGCCGGACCCCAGTTCCGCACCGCGCACAATCTCCATGCGGCCGTCAATGCGGCCGATCTCTTCCACTATGGCCCGGTTCTGACAGAGAACCGGCATCACTCCTCTCGTTGTCATGGTACTGCCCATTGGCATCCCTCCCTGTTTGATCCGCTCTTCCTCCTTTGCTGACTCGCCTTTCCCCGTTTTCCCGTCCCCTCTCCCCCCTTCCTCCCTCCGTCTTCGGGCCGAAAAAGCCATCTACCGCGAGTACATCTGCCGGGTCTTCTTTCCCACCTGTGATTCCGACCCTACGGCCGAGCTCCGGCGGCACCCCTTCTGCCGAGACGGCTATTTGTGCCAGCAGGCGGCCCTCATCTGTGATGAGGAATTCGCCAACACATACATGCTCTGCGCCGACGAGTCACTTCCCCTTTGCCCGAAGGTGTGCCCCCCCCCCCTCCCCCCCTCTGAAGCCACGTCCTCCTGTCCTTGTCTCAAGGTCCCCTCCCTGGTCATGTTACTAATCCCAGTTCTCCACCAGACTCCGGCCCGTATTCCCGGAAGTGGCTCCGTCTCTCACTCGCAGGATGGGTCCTCCAGCTCCGATGACACGCCTGACAACAACATCGACCCATCGAAGTTCCCCCCCGGCCTGATCGCCGCCCTGGCACTGGGAACCATGCTGGCAGTGGTTGTCTTTGTCGGGCTCTTCATTTTCGCGGGCATCACCATGCAACACCCGAAGCCCAGCCCGTCGGGGGGCTTTCCACCGGCAAAACGCCGGCGGTCGCGCCATTGTAGTCACCCCGGGGACCTCTGCCCCCCGGGCTGTCCCACCGCACAGGCAGCCGATAAGCCCGACGCCACGACGGCCTCCGGCATGCCGGATCTCCTCCCGACACGCAGGCGCCATGTTTCCGACATCGAGAAGGAGGGCTACGAGCTGTACGAAGACCCCTACTTCGCCCTACTTCGCCCTTGCATGCATGGGGATGCGCCCCCCCCCCCCCCCCCCCCCCCCTTGCTCCCGCCGACGTGCACACTGACACATGCAACCAAACCTCCCTCTCCTTTTTCCTTCGCCTCCCTTTGCCGTTTTTTTTCCCGGCCGCCCGCGCGTCTGTCCATCGACCTAGCACGGAAATCGATGCCCTCCCCGGTACATTTGCCGCCGATGCCCCGCCACCAGCTGACCTCGGCCTCTTTGACCATGCCCCTTCAAGTGCCGGCTCCTCGCCCGGCTCCTCAACTCGGTCGTGGTCGCCCCGGTCGCTGGCAGCCAGCTCGCCAGCCTCTTTTGGCATGGATCTGGAGGAGTGCTTGTCCTCGGGCCTCGAGGGGGGGATTGAGTCGTGCTTGTCCGAGGAGTATATGCCGCCCGGGCGGGGGGGCTTCCCCGGAAGTCGCGACCTGTCTCCTGGGGTCCTGCAGCACAGCGGGACCTCGCCTGGGGCTTCCTCCGGCCTGGATACCAACCTCTCTCATTTGGGTCTGGCCAGTGGCCTGCACACGCACTTTGACGCCACCGGCGAGGCAGGCCACTTCTTCCCTCGGAGTCCTGACGTGCCGCTGCCCGGGACGGCAGATGGCACGATTTCCGGCGCCACGAGCGGCCCGATGCCGACCGTTCCGCGCCTGATCGTCACCATGGCTTCGCCCAGCAGCGAAGGGTGGGATGACCCGGGCGAGGCTGGTATCGCGCATTCCTCCTCCATCGAGTACTCTGCCTCTGGGGACATGGCGTTTGCCGGCTCAACGGCGGTGCCCATTTCGCAGCAATCTTCAATGTCACATCCTCAACAGGAGCTGCCTGGTGGGCATGCCCAGTCAAGCTCCCTCGAGTCGAGCCCCTCCCTCGAGCCGGCCAGCATCCTGCCGCTGGAGTTGCTCCCAGTACGCGCGGTGCCGGGGACCCCTCCTCCCCTGGCTGCTGGCGAGGAGGATGAATCTTTCCCGGCCCATGCGCTTCTTCGTGTGCCGACGGCCATGCGGCGAAAGCGCTCGCGCCGCAGTGGTGCCCCATCCGACTCGCACATCACTGTCCCGACGGTGTCCCAGCAGCAAGCGACACCTCCCCCGGTGGAGGTCCCGCCGGAGCATGCCAGCGTGCCGATGGACGAATCGGCCAGCCTGTATGGCGAGCTGCTGGTCGGACCGGAGGGCATCCTATCACGGGCCACGTCGCCTGGCGATGGGTCGCGGTCGCGCTCTCGGTCACGGTCGCGCTCCCGGTCGCGGTCGCGGTCGCGGTCACAGTCGCCCACTCGTTCCGCCGGCGACGCCAGTGCCGGTGCCGAGCGTGTTTCTTCGCCCGAGCAGCGCACGTCCCCTGTGCCAGCACCATCGGCGGCCGGGGCCTCTGCTGCCATGGTGGCAGCAATCCCGGTGACTGCCATTCCCCTTCCGGCCCCCCCGCCGCCTGCCAAAACCATGCGCCGATCGAGCTCGACCTCCAGTCGGGCATCCACCTCGTCGGCGTCCTCCTCCTCATCCAATGAGCTGTCTGGCAGCATGGGGTCCCTCTCTGGTGGTGTGGGCCCCAGTGCGACCCCCTCACCGTATCTCCATGCGCTGCGCCAGCTGGTGGCCTTGCGCGGAGAGCGGGTTCTCTTTTCCATCGACGCCACCGCCGGGCTGGGATGCATTCACTATGCGGCGGCCAATGGCGACACTGATGCCCTGAAGTACATTCTGGAGTTGACGCTGCAGCAGGGGGCCGGCTCGACCATCGTCGACATGTTGGACCGATCCGGCATGACGCCGCTCATGTGGGCAGCCCACTATAGCCAGGTCTCGGCGATTCGGTGCGCGGCTTTGCCTCCTCCTCTTCCTCCTCCTCCTGTGGAGGGGTTCTCTTTCTGCTCCTTCTCTTTCCTCCCCACC